GTGTGTGTGTGTGTGTGTGTGTGTGTGTGTGTGTGTGTGTGTGTGCTGTGTGTGTATATGTATATATATATATATATATATATGTATATATATATATATATATATATATATATATATATTTTTGTTTATTTATTTATATATATATATATATATATATATATATATATATATATATATATATATATATATATATATATATATATATATATATATATATATATATATATATATATATATATATATATATATATATATATATATATATATATATATATATATATATATATATATATATATATATATGTATAGTGCTCAGAATAATTAAGTACACCATATTTTGTAAATGAATATTTGAATCCAGTTTTCAGTGACCACAAAGTTAAACAAAACAGATTTATTAAACGGATATATTTGTTAATAAATATTTTAGTCACCAAACATGTTTAGAAATTGAAAGATAATCAATTGAATTCAAGTAAAATATAAAAAAATTACATCCTACAAAAATCCACAAAATTTAAAATGCTTCTTTTGGTTTTTCCTTTTTTTAAAATTTGTATTTAATGTTTTTAACATATAAATTTGGGTGTACTAGTTTTTGGAACATTATCGTAAATTATTTTGTTAGATAAGCTCCAGAATTTGGCTTCGGTACTGACTAATCTAATGTATATGCACAACTATATTATTGTATAGCTTCCTATTAAAAATATGATATATATATATATATATATATATTTCAAATTATTGGCATTTTATCATATACATTTAATTTTTTTTTTTACGCTGACAAATGTTTTGAGGACAATGCAGAGTTATGCAATATAATGTGTTGTTTAATATATAACAGACTGATTTTTAAAGAAAGATATTCATATAAAAATATACATTTTTCATATTTATTTTTCTTACTGACCTTACTGATATCTTTTGAACGGTACATTATAAATATATATATCTTTCACTTGAAGTTCATCTTTAAAATATAATTTGATGTAATCTATTTATAATCTGCATTTTTTGAGAAAAGACCTGTTTGATATTTAAGATATTGCTAAAAAGGACTTGCTAAAAACTTTAATAGGAAATGCATGTTTAACAAAACATTTAAAATTTTAGCTTGATGTGTCAGAAAAAATGGCTTTCAGTAAGATTTTACTTTGGTGAATTGTCAAACATTTCTAATAGATTATGTTTATGTTTTCCATGTGCTCATTATTAAAAACATTGCAATTGATAAAAAACAACAAAATTAATTAATCGGAAATGGCTGAACAAGACCACATAGTTCACTAAAATTTGAAATATTTATTCCACGTGTTAGCGTGGGGTTTTTCTGGGTGCCCCAGTTTCCCTCACAAGTCCAAAAACATGTACCGAAGGTGAACTGGGTAAGCTAAATTAGTTGTAGTGTATGTGTGTGAATGAGTGTATATGAGTGTTTCCCAGTAATTGGTTGCAGCTGGAAGAGCATCCGCTGCGTAAAACATATGGTGGATAAGTTGGCGGTTCATTCTGCTGTGGCGACCTCAGATTAATAAAGAGACTAAGCCGGAAATGAATGATTGAATGAATTTCTTCTAATAACATGAAAATAATTTATATTAGTGAAATGCACTTTTATGATTTGAAATTATTCATTTAAATAGAATCTGATTGAAATATATATATATATATGTATATATATATATATATATATATATATATATATATATATATATATATATATATATATATATATATATATATATATATATATATATATATATATATATATATATATATATATATATATATATATATATATATATATATATATATATATATATATATATATATATATATATATATATATATATATATATATATATATATATATATATATATATATATATATATATATATATATATATATATATATATATATATATATATATATATATATATATATATATATATATATATATATATATATATATATATATATAT